ATGAGGAGGTTGGTGTCCAGGTAGAGGAGCTCTCGGACGAGGTCGTAATGGCCGTTGGCGGCGGCCCAATCAATGGGGGAAGCATACCACCATTGATCACCGGTGCTCTCCCAACGAAGAGGGAAGTAAGATTGGGACATCTGGGAGATCAACAGGTGATCCTGATCAAGGAATCAACTTTGGGGAGAACAAGGATGGGATCTTGGGAGTTGAACTGATTTGGGTATTCCTCAAACTAGCCAAAGTATGATTTTGTACTACTTTGGGTAGTCCTAATGGGAAAAAAAAACAATTTTTAAGAGTTCTCACGGATTTCTGTACTGCCCATTTGAGCTCAACTAGAGATTTTGGCAAGTACATGCACACTAATGAGAAAGACCCAGTACAGATTCAGTGAAAGTAAAGGTAATAAACAAACCTGAAGTGGGGATTTGGGAGATCAAGAACCTGCAAAGATTTGGTAAGATCCAGTAAAGATTCAGCCAAGGCAAAATGATTTTAAAAAAAAAACCAATCTTTAAGTGAAATTCTAGGAGGAGAAGAACCTGAGAGAAAACCCATCAGGGCTCAAGAGTGAAGAAGACGGTTGAGATGCAAGAACCCATTAAAAGGAGCTGCGGGCTCAGCGATCATGTTTTAGAGAAAGCAAAAAAGGGAAGAGCTGAAGAAGGGGGAAAAAGGAGGGAGACAGAGAACTGAATGGAGGTGTGCAGATAATGATGGGGACTTGAGAGGGAGTTGGAATTTTAAGAGGAATCTTTGTAGAGCTGATCTTGATGGAGATTTTAAGGAGTTGGGCACAATGAACAGAGATCCTTGAGTTTGAGTTTGAGTTGAGTTGAGAGATGCAAAGGTGGCTCACTTGATTTTTTTGGGAAGGGGAAAATGATTTTGAGGTGGGAGCTGTAAATTGACATTTTAAAGTCTAGTTTTTTTTTTAAATAATGCCTAAATTCTTTGATACTTATAATTGCGCATCATAGTACAAGTTTTGTATCCTATATAAAGCTTATATGTTTATAATCATAATCTACATATATAAATGTCAACAATAGGAAAATTTTAATTAGTTAGTTATTTAAGTGGAGGATAAATTTTTAAAAGCACCCACTTTTAATAATTAAATATCAAAAACAACCATTTGAAAAAAAAATAGCAAAACCGACCCTTTTCTGAAAAAAAGGGTCGGCTTTGCAGTTGTTGTGATTTAGCGAATTGTATAGGATTAATAGTCCCGTACACTTCATTTCTATTTTCCCCACGATAACAAAAATGAAGTGTACGGGGCTAGTAGTCCCGTACACTTCGCTAAATCACAATAACAACAAAACCGACCCTTTTCTGAAGAAAAGGATCGGTTTTGCTAAATTTTTTCCCCAAAGGATCGTTTTTGCTACTTAAATATTAAAAACGGGTGTTTTCAAAATTTTGTCCTTAAGTGGAACTAAGCAATTAGATTCTGAGTACATATGGTGCATGTATACACTGAATTAATGACTACCCAATTTCTCTTTTGACTAATTATCATTTTTGTATAATTAAAAAAAAAAGCTTCTGTATATCTCATCCTAAACCCAACATCTAGCCCAAAACCACCCTCTCTTTCTCTGCCCTTTTAGTACTACTATGAGCTAGCAATAAGTTAAAGCCAATGCGTTTATGAACTGATATTACAATGAATAACTTCTTTTTTTTAATATTGAATTGAGATACAAACAGATAAATGAAAACATAAGAACCGACATATCTAACAATAATAAAGACAATTTAAACTACCCAACAAATTAGTTGAACAACTTCCAAATGAGACCTATGAATGTCTCATCATTCCCTTGTCCATCTTTAATATTAAACCGTACAAATTTAATATATATTTTTTAAATCTTTAATAATCTTTAATAATATTAAACCGTCCAAAACTCTTAGGAGATAACGATGGAGACCACCGAGCTAAGGAAAGCCAATAACGGGGAGGAAAACAATGAAAGCAAGAAAGAAAATCTAGCATACATCAAACTTTATCTTCAATAATATTATATCCATTGAAATCAGCGTGAAATATATTAATGCATGTGACATACAAGTTGTATGATTATGAAACAAGGCCCATAAGCAAACAAGGGAGGTTAAGAATTAATAGAAAGATCGCTTCAAAAAAAAAAAAAAAGAACTAATAGAAAAATAATTAGGATTTTGCTTTGTTAGTTTAATGTGCTCATGAAGTCATTTTCAAGGGGCCAAGTAAGCTCTTATGGCTAATACGATTATGTTTTTGTAGATCTTTTTCCTAAGTTAATTTAAGGCTTTGACTACTTTGACCACAATTGAGGGGATTAAGGTTGCGTGCATCTGTCTTCGTTTAAGAAAATGAAAAATTAACTACTTGAACTATCATCTTTGACTTGAAATAGACAATATCTTTGACACGTGCAATGCGCATGTACAAAGATGGTATACGGTCACACGTGTTTGAGTAGAATAACTAGTATTAGTGGTTGTTTGGTACATTTCCGGAAAAAAAAAGAAAACAGAAAACTAGGCTGGAAAACATTTCTGGACATTTCAGAGGGTTTCTCTCATTTCTTTTTTTGGGTTTGTTTCACATTGAAATCATAGGTTAGAAAACATTATTTCTCATTTCTTGTGTCTGTTTGAACATCCAGAAATCAGAAAATCAAATGAGTTTTCCTATTAAATATTCAACGACAGGACATTAAATATTCCCCTTTAATTCAAGCCGTCTTTTTAATAGTGCTTTAAACATTTAAATATGTCCAGATGTGAAATTTCTTACTCATTTCAGCTACTTTTAGTCTGAAATGAGCTTTCTTGAAAATCTAATGTGGCAACCTATTTCACCCCACATTTCTTTAAATCACCCAGCGAACCAAACATAGAGAATGGAAATGTCTTGAAACCAAAATCATATGTAGCCTTCTTGTCAGATTCCAAACCCCCCCCCCCCCACCGCGCAAAAAACAGCCCCTTAAACAAAAATCTCTTTATAAAGTGGTTAATTCTAGAGAAGATTCACGGTATAAATGATGTTTTCCAGTAGAAAAGGGTTTATGATGTCCAAATCACATTGTAAATTAGGGTTGTTAATGTCACATCAGCTTTAGAAAGATTTGACTCCCCCCTACTTTCAATCCAGTAGGGGACTCCCCCAACCCACATGGAGCCACGTGTGATAATAGCCCACTCATGCGGGGGCAATAGTGTAAAGGTGGCTGCATTTATGCGTGTACCTTCTTCCTGTGTGGAAAATATTAAAAATAATAAATAATACAGATTTAAACATAAAGTTAGCAAAGACGGTGAAGGGGGAGGTTGTTGGGGAAACATGCCACGAGACCAATGTTCATAACTCATGCGGTTTACAGAATATGCACGTGCTCATTATCCCTTTTAGTACATCTAAAGGCTTATATAACCATCAACACATACCTAAGTTAATAACATTTTCATACGGTTGTGATCTCTCAAATGGTTTAGATCCGTTCCGCATGTGGTGGTTCAAAGAGATGTGAAGAGAGGAGGACCCACGAAAGCGTTATGTTTTGTACTGATCCAAGGGTTCTTATCGCCTTGAACGTCACTTGTCCGTTGATTCCGATTCTATTGATACTTTCTCCGTGTAAGAGAGGAGAATCTTTGGATCGGTGTATTCATCTTCAAATGCTGATTTACATATTCTCGTACGTCCTCTCCAACATCACGTATCAAGTGATTTCGATTCAATGGATTTCTCCGTATAAGAGAGGGGAATCCTCGTATCAGTACGCCTATCCTCAATCATTCATGTTCTGTATTGATTCAAGGATTCTCGTTCTTTCAAATCAACACAAAATAAAAAAAAACAATGAAGTTATAAAAGAAATTTTCATCTCTTACACGAGGTTCATCTCTACACAATACTGATTTTTTATTTTGACCGAGGTCAGGCTGCGAGCGAGCTTAATCATGCCCTTTTTATGTACTCCGCCTAAACCCCTCATTTCACTTCACTTGCTGTGGGGTCTATGAGAGTATTGATTGACCACCTAATCACGGTTTTGAGAAAGCAAAAGTTAAAAAAAAAAAGGAAAGATATATAAAAGGGGGGGTTTTGTGAAATTAAGTAATTAACCCTACATAGAATCAAGGGGGGGTTTGGGAAATTAACCCTACATAGAAAGCAACTTTACGGTCACCCAATGATATTGCCTATCAATAATAAGGTTGCTAAGCGTGCTGATTTGCGTTGATTGAAGAACCAACAAAGATGGAAGGATTTTGGGTACGATATATAATAACTTTGAAGAAATTTTCAAAACCGACCCAAATCATGTTTTTATTTTCAAAACTGACCCACTTTTTTTTTATTTATCAAAATCGACTCATTTTTTGTCACGTCAGCTTAATCTCATTTCCTAATTAGTAGGGATTGCCAACTCCGACTATTTAAGACAGCAAAAACCGGGTTTAAGGCTTCTAATTTGGATTTAACAATCTCCTAAACTGTCGGGGTTGGCAACCCCGACTGTTTAAGAATGGGATTAAGCTGACGTGGCAAAAAGCGGGTCGATTTTGATAAATAAAAAACTTTTGGATCGGTTTTAAAAATAAAAACATAGTTTGGATCGGTTTTAAAATTTTCTTCTAATAACTTTCCCAATAAGCCCCCACACTAAAAAAGATAGATATCACATCCGCATATAGAGAGAGAGGGAGATTGATTAAGAAACGCATTGTTACAAGACACGGTGCCCTGAAAAAGAAACGCACATCGCGTGTTCGCGCCCTGAGAAGAAAAAGGGAGGGAGAGATGATGGAATCAGTTTTAGACATATCGACGCGGCACAGCACGCGTTGACGTCGAACGCTTTTGGGGTCTGCCACGATGAAATGATCCCGAGTCCATTCCTTTTCCTTCTCTTTCACCAGCATTGCCCTTTTCATTCTCTGTCGCGCGCAAATTATGCGCGATTTATCTCCCTCTCTCTCAATCACAGAGGCCCGGTGCTCCCCAGTGAAAATGCTGAGATCGAAATCATACAGCAACACGAAGAGAGAAGCGTGTAAGTGTTGGCACTCGATCTAGTTAGGGTTGTAAGGGTTGACGACGCTTACGCTTCTTAAACAAACTATTTTATTAGCACTTACGACTTAAAAATATAATAACTTATCATCATAAGAGAAATAACATCATTCCAGACTCAGGGACTGTAAATACTATCAAAATAATTTCATGCGCTAAGACGCATCATGGTTGAAAGGTAAGAGATGGGAGTAGAAAGAAAGCGATACTTTAATTTTGACCAAATTATCTTGCAGGAAACGTGAAGAGTTCAGTTCCAAATATCTTGCAGAAAAAGAAAAGAAAAGATTGGGCCGAACTCACGCCCAACAAAACTAATGTTAAAAGCCCTTTATAAAAGGAGGGAATTCAATGCAAAGAAATTATTCCGAACAAATAACCAGAACCACCAACTAAGTGCAAGAAGAAACCGGCAGACTCAGATCATCAGCAACCAACGGCGGCAAGAGAAAACCCCTATTTGGCGGTGCTCATGTGGCGGATGAGGTCAACAACACGGGTGCTGCAAAAGAGAAAAAGCAAATTAAGCCCAAATCAGAAACCCAATTTTTCCGACTATTTTGAGATATTAAGCTAATGTGCAAGTTTAGAAAAGAGCAATCACCTGTATCCCCACTCGTTGTCATACCAAGAGACGAGCTTAACGAAGTTGTCGTTCAAAGCAATTCCAGCCTTGGCGTCGAAAATGCTTGACCTGTTATTAAACACAAAAACACCAATTAATTATGTTCATAGATGACAAGGAACGTAGCTCTTTGAAAATTATGAAAGCATACCTGTTGTCACCCTGGAAGTCTGTGGAGACGAGGTCCTCCTCAACATAGCCCAAGATTCCTTTTAGGTTTCCCTCGGACTCTGCCCTGAAACACAAAACAAAACAAAAATCGTCGCAACATTTCTCTATTCTAGGTTTCTATAAGAATTATCGAACATTAACCTCATCTGTTCTTATATATTTGATGCGACAGTGATCTATTCTTATGCTTATAGCAATATTACTTACTTGATTGCAGCCTTGATATCATCATAAGTGGCTTTCTTCTCAAGCCTGACAGTAAGGTCCACAACAGAGACATCAATGGTAGGCACACGGAAAGCCATTCCAGTCAATTTGCCGTTCAAAGCTGGGAGCACCTTTCCAACAGCCTACAGTATGCATAATATAGGGTGAAGAATTAGTTAATCCATAGATAAAATGATATAAATATGCCTCAAATTATATGTAGTCTTATTTGGCCATAGCAGGAGGCGCAACAGACTAGGTAGCATCCTCCAAAACATAAATGAAATCAATGAGAGCAGCTCATCTGTCAAGGATAGCGTGCAAGAAAATGGATTCTCTAACTACACACCTTGAAAATGATTTGAAGTAGAAATTAATCACTATAACAGAAGTCGCTCTAGCAGTATAACAGAGAAAATTTTCCGATCACATTAGCCAAGGCTTTAATAAACTCAAGGTGAAACAGGGAACACACGTGAACAACTGAATCAAAATGTCTTATCCTACTTCAGAAAAAAACTAGTGCCATACTTTTCCATTTGTCTGGAGATACTAAACAGTATGCTTACCTTAAATAACAAACTTCAACAGTGACCAAATTCATTAACAGGGAATAAAGTGAATATTCAAGTAAGTACCTTAGCAGCTCCTGTGCTGCTAGGGATGATGTTAAAGCTTGCAGCTCTTCCACCCCTCCAGTCCTTGCTAGATGGTCCATCAACAGTCTTCTGGGTGGCTGAAACAATAGAAAGCTCAAATCAAATTACTGACCACGACAATATTACACGATACAGTAAATTTGAATGTTTGGTTCTCGAAAAGATTAAGTACCAGTCATTGCATGGACGGTGGTCATCAAGCCCTCAATAATGCCAAACTTATCATTAATGACCTGTCATGATCACATCCAAGAGAAAACATTATTACCCAAGGAATACAAATTGTTGAACTCCACAAAAAGTACTGGAAAATGTATTACCTTGGCAAGAGGAGCTAGACAGTTGGTTGTGCAGCTAGCGTTGGAGACAATGTTAAGGTCTGGTGTGTATGACTTATGGTTCACTCCCATCACAAACATTGGTGCATCTTTGCTTGGTGCAGAGATGACAACTTTCTTGGCACCACCCTAAAAACATTACGATGCAATCCAGTGTTAATAAAATAAACTCACCAGCAATATACATCATTATATTGTACAACAAGTCCAACTGGGTAAGAAACAATCTGAGGAAACAGAAAAGAGTCTTAAGTAGAAACTATCAGAATAGGTTGACAAATGTGTGAACTATGTGATGGGAAAAAATTCAGACTGCTTAAAATAAAAGCAAAAAGGGTTGCCTTAATAACTAAGATTCAAGGATTGGCAAAAAATTTGAAGTCAGGAGATTGTTCAAAATTATAATATTCTGTTTTACCAAATTACCATAATGAAAGAAGCTCCAACTTTCAACACTGACACTATTATTAATTTCAAATGAGCCCTGTGGCAAAATCAAATTCCTAACTATAAGAGAAAATACCTTCAAATGAGCAGCAGCCTTGTCCTTGTCAGTGAAGACACCAGTTGACTCCACAACAAAATCTGCACCAGCCTTGCCCCATGGGATCTCCTCCGGGTTCCTTTAAAACCCAGTAACAATTAGGTCAACAAAAAACAATACATAACAAAGAAATAAAGAAACACTATTGAGAATGATATGAAAGACAACACTAAGAAAAGGATGCCAACCTGCAACCAAATACAGCAACTTGCTTCTCATATGAAAGACAACACTAAGAAAAGGATGCCAACCTGCAACCAAATACAGCAACTTGCTTCTCACCAAAGAGAAGGGTGTTAGAGTCCTTGATAGGATGCCAACCTGCAACCAAATACAGCAACTTGCTTCTCACCAAAGAGAAGGGTGTTAGAGTCCTTGACCTTGATGTCGTGGTGCTTCCATTGCCCATGGACACTGTCATACTTAAACATGTAGGTCTGCAGAAAACCATTAACACCATTAATAAAACAATCCATACGCAAAGCCTTGTTTAATTGAATGAGATATTTGTTTATCCAAATATTATTGTCATGATCAGTTTTTTTTTCTCCCTTGAAATACAGACTGATCAATATTCAATATAATGAGCATTGCAATAGAACAACTGCAAGAGAAGACCCTGACCTATTTCACAGTCTTAGTAAGCAGAAAAGCATCTTCCATAAAAAATTAAAAACTGACTACACTAGAACTCATATTAGGTCCTTATGGCATTAGCCAAGACTGCTAATCTGGAGCAAGCCAGTAATGCATAATATCAGGTTCAAGTTGTGCAGGTTGGTTAAGCAGTTACATTTTCACAATCCACGTTGTGCTCCATAAAGTGAGCAAGTTGTGGAATGAGACTTGAAATTAAACTAAAATATATGACAGATTGATGCTTATTTGTTGACATGGAAACGTATGGATGAGTTTATCAAAATCAATGAAATTTAAATTGAACAAAAGGTAATGATGGAAAAGGTGGTTAAACTAAATTCAAAAGATTGGTAGTTTAAATTACAAGTCCATATTATCAGACAAGGGGCAACAACAATAAAAGGGCCCTTTCTGAGAGGCCATCATGTAAATTGTAGATATCTGAAGCCAATAAATACGGGCATCTAAAAAGTAAATGATGTTGGATCATCTGAAAGGGCCCTATTAGTTGACACATGGAAACGTATGGATGAGTTTATCAAAATCAATGAAATTTAAATTGAACAAAAAATAATGAGTGGAAAAAGTGGTTAAACTAAATCCAAAAGATTGGTAGTTTAAATTATAAGTCCATATTATCAGACAAGGGACAACAACAATAAAAGAGCCCTTTCAGAGAGGCCATTATGTAAATTGTAGATATCAGAGGCTAATAAATATGGGCATCTAAAAAAAGAAAAGTAAATGATGTTGGATCATCTGCAAGAAAACTATATTGTTAAGCAATTACAATGCAGAAAACTATTATAACATAAGAACAAGTGCTCCCACGCCACCATAACTATTCAACATTTCAAATTACCAAAAAATAATTGAACCAAACCATCACCTTTGTTAGCAACTAAAATTGTATTTCAGAAAATTTGTTTACTGATATATCTAAAGTTTCATAAAGTGGAAATCCTACCATAATAATAAATATTGGAAACAACTATAATAGATTTAAGCAAAACTTCTATAGATAATGGAAATCCTACCATAATAATAAATATTGGAAACAACTATAATAGATTTAAGCAAAACTTCTATAGATAATGGGGAAAACCTCTCGCAGAACATTACTGGAAACAACTATAATAGATTTAAGCAAAACTTCTATAGATAATGGGGAAAACCTCTCGCAGAACATTAGTGAATAGTTAAGTCCACCAACAGAATTCTATGATATGCAACGAGACATTGATATACATGCTAGTATAGTTATCTAAACAAAAAAAAATCATACATTTGTACACCATATTACTTATACATCAAATGGAGTCAGACGCACGTTTTCCGGATAACTAAAAAGTTCATTATCCACAAGTCCAAAGTTTAAAAAAATGAATGATTTTTTTAGCTTGTAGATCTTTGACAATTGTAGATCAAAGTGAATAGAGTGAAATGAAAAATTTCTTCATGTATTATACAAAATAGAGTGAAATACATTCATGAAAAAATGAATGTATTTACTTGCAAAGCAACATTCTAACGCAGGTGATTTATACAATGCATTTTAGCTGGACTCATAAATCATCAGTATACTAAAAAACAAATAACCATCCAGTAACAAAATGATGCTATAATATTCTGAGAATATCATCACTAAAATCGAGATCAAGCGACAGATCTAGCGCAAATCTCAATCTAGATCCCAAAGATCAGTCAATACCATCACCATCCAGTAACAAAATGATGCTATAACATTCTGAGAAAATCATCACTAAATTCGAGATCAAGCAGATCTAGCGCAAATCTCACTCTAGATCCCAAAGATCAGCCAACACCACAAACAGGTCACTATCCAATAACGAAATAAAAACGACAAATCTAAGAAACAGTCATTAACACCACCAACAAGCAAGTAACTAAAATTTTCAAATCTCGATCCGGATCCAAGATCCAAATGATCATCAGCACAATGCGGATCTAAAGATCTGATCGAAATCGAAAAAAGGAAACCGCCGACAGATCTAGAAGTTATACCATGTAATCGGTGGTGATGAAGGGATCGTTGACGGCGACGAGCTCGACATCCTCGCTCTGAAGGATCACCCTCGCCACCAATCGCCCGATCCTTCCAAAACCTAGGGGAAAAAATCGACAAAATTCGTCAAAAATGAACAGATCGAACCCTAGACTAACACGTCGCGATCGAGAAGCTCACCGTTGATTCCGACCTTGATCTTTCCACCTGCTGAGAGAAAAGAAAAGAAATGAAAAGGTTAAAAGATCTGAAGACGCGAGAGGGAGGAGGAGGAAGAAGAGAATGAAATTACGGATTTACCCATTGAGATCTCTGTGATGTTGATGGGAGAAATTTTCTGGAGGTTTTTTTTTGGGTGTGATAGAGAAATGAAGGGGGTTTAGGTTGGCTCATAAAGAGGTGGGTTTGATACGCTCACGCTCGCTTGGCGCTGGGTGTACGCCATTCGACTTATTCTTTTCCTCCAAGAAATGTTTTTTTTTATTTGTGTTTTTAGGAAAAATTGCTTCAAGGCCCCAAAATCCAAAAAGACATGTGACCCAGCCCCTCATACTTTTGGTTATGTGCTGCAGCCCCAAAATTTTGAAATTTTTTTGCCCAAACCCCTCTATCATGACTCCAGCTCATGTTTTCCTAAAAAACCCAATTTTACCCCTCCCAAAATCATTGTCATCTTCCCCCCAAAATCACACTTCTTCCTCCTCTTCCTTCCCCATCTCCTTCCTCCCTCCTCTGTCTCCTTCCTCCGCCGCTTCGACTCCCCCCCAGTCCTACAAGCGCTTCGTCAAGTCCTTCCGCCTCCTCGACGGTGACTCCTCCTCCCTCGTCGCCGACTGCCTCCGCGAGGTCCGCCTCATCTCCAGCATCCCCGTCGTCAGCAGCACCAAGCGCCTCGAAATCTTCGATGACAAGAAGAAGGTCATGAGTTTTAGGATCGTGAGAGGCGAACACAGACTGAGCAACTACAGGTCATGAGTTCTAGATTCAAGGCAACCCTTTCTTCCAAATTTCAGTCATCAATATGTACTGCAAATGTGGGTGCTTGATCAATGCCCACAAAGCGTGTGATGAAATGCTTGTTAAAGATGTGGTCAACACGGCTGCGCTTATAACTGGTTACTCACAGAATGATCATCTTAAAGAGGCATTGGAGTTGCTTCCTAAAATGCTCGTACTTGGATTGAAAACTAACGAGTTTACTTTTGCGAGCCTTTTGAAGGCCACTGGTTCTGCTGCAAGTGTTGGAATTGGGGGAACAATTTCATGCTTTAAGTGTTAAATATTCTTGCAACTTGAATGTGTTTGTTGGGGGTTCATTGTTGGATATGTATGCACGTTTTGGGAAGATGGATGAGCCTTGTTTTGTGTTTGATCGGTTGGATTCCAAGAACGAAATCCCATGGAATGCTCTAATTGCTAGATATGCAAGAAAAGAAGAAGGCGAGAAGGCTCTTAAAATGTCAACTATTTTACGGTGCTTGTTAACTATATTCAGGTTCATGTTAACTATTTAAGGGTGCTTATTAACTATATTCAGGTTCATATTAACTATTTTAAGGTGCTTGTTAACTATATTCAGGTTCATGTTAACTATTTAAGGGTGCTTATTAACTATATTCAGGTTCATATTAACTATTTTAAGGTGCTTGTTAACTATATTCAGGTTCATGTTAACTATTTTACAGTGCTTGTTAACTATATTCAGGTTCATGTTAACTATTTTAAGGTGCTTGTTAACTATATTCAGGTTCATGTTAAATATTTTATGGTGCTTGTTATAACTATATTCAGGTTCATGTTAACTACTTTACGGTGCTTGTTAACTATATTCAGGTTCATGCTAACTATTTTAAGGTGCTTGTTAACTATATTCATGTTCATGTTAATTATTTAAGGTGCTTGTTAACTATATTCAGGTTTATGTTAACTATTTTACGGTGCTTGTTAACTATATTCAGGTTCATGTTAACTATTTTACGGTGCTTGTTAACTATATTCAGGTTCATGTTAACTACTTTACGGTGCTTGTTAACTATATTCAGGTTCATGCTAACTATTTTAAGGTGCTTGTTAACTATATTCAGGTTCATGTTAATTATTTAAGGTGCTTGTTAACTATATTCAGGTTCATGTTAACTATTTTACGGTGCTTGTTAACTATATTCAGGTTCATGCCAATGGGAGAGGAGACTTCAAACTGACATCTAAATGGCAAAGCAAGCTCTTTGTGATGCTTTATCCGTTGAAAGGAAGCCTGAAGCTTTAACATGTTATCTGTGTAACTTAACAAGCTACCAAGAAAAGTTAACATGTTACATGTGTAACTTAACAATCTACCTGTGAAAGTTAACATGTTATCTGTGTAACTTAACAAGCTACCAATAAAAATTAACATGTTACATGTGTAACTTAACAATCTACCTGTGAAAGTTAACATGTTATCTGTGTAACTTAACAAGCTATCAAAAAAGTTAACATGTTACCTGTGTAACTTAACAATCTAACAGAGTAACTTAACAAGCTAACAAAAGTATTTCAATAGTTAATGACTTATATAAGTATTTAAATAGTTAATAGGACAAATTTGTGCATCAATTTTATATCACATTTTCATTATAGTTCACATCCCTACAAAAGTATTTCAGTTCATATACACAGTTACTACATACATACAAAAATATTTAGCTATTACATCTACGTTTAAGGCAAGATGAAAGCCAAATAACATTGTGCCTACTAAGGCACCAGATTAAGGAAAAGGCCCAGATGGAATTACATTAGTGTAATAATTCATAACTTCACAATACACTGATACTCATTTTCATCTTGATGCAACTAATCTGAAGTCTGGGGAGGATGTGGATTGTGACAAGAGGATCTCTCTGTTGGGCCACATTGTGCAATTCCAGGTGGATGCCATAACCTAAAACAAGACAAAAAAACCCAAAACAATCAATCTTTTCCCATCTTTTTAATATTTATTTATTTATTGAATTTAACTGGAAAATCAATGAGAAATACCTTGAAGGCAATGCAGTCATGGGTTTTGTTGGATAACAGGACATAACACGAGATCTCCTTCTCTAACTCAACTAATTAAACAAAAAAAAAACATGAAATTAGACGAAGAACTGAACCCGACAAGATGAGGGTGGCCGATGTGGCGGTGGTGGCGGAGTTGAGGAGGCTGTGGAGGATGACCCGAAATGTTGAGGAGGGGCACGACGAGTGCTGGAGCGGCGACGGCGGCGGCTGCGGCGTTGAGGGAGGTGATAACACCTTATGAGGCGGCGCTGGAGTTTGAGAGAGAGGGAGTGGAGTTGGACGAGACGAAGAAGAGCGGAGCAAGAGGAGGAAGAAGGAGAAGATCTGGAGAAGAAGAAGATCTAGAAAAGAAGAAGAGGGGTAGTTTGGGGATTTATTTTCTTGGAAATTGTAATAAGGACTGGATCACATAGAATTTTCATTTTTGGGGCTGCAGCACATAACCAAAAGTATGAGGGGCTGGGTCATATGACTTTTTAGATTTTGGGGCCTTGAAGCAATTTTTCCGTGTTTTTATATAAGGAATTTATGTATTTATGGTTTTCCTTACGCAAGAGATTGTTCACACTTTTACCAGATATCTTTTTCGTGAAATTTATATTTTATGATGACATTAGTTAAGATGTCAGCAAAGGTTAGTTCTTACACATTGATTTTCTATTAAAAGTGTCATTCCGCCACTATTTAGTTTGAAAACCAGCTTATTGTGACTGATTTTTTCCAAGATAAAAACAATTAAGGTTCTAGTTTTAAATAAAACTTAAATTTTGAAATATAAAATTATGTATTATATTTGGTTTTTGTCACTTATTATATTAAAGGCTGATATCAAGTTTATAGGGTCGCCTATCTCGACTTAGCTGATTAAATTCATTTTTTTTGTTCTGAAAATAATTAGAAATAGAAGTAAAGTATTAATATCGAGATATTTACGACTGAACTCACATTAGTAAGAGGGCTTACCACTTACTGACATTAGCTCGAACCCAACTTATAAATTATATGAAATGGAGAGAAAAATTTGAAATAGGAACCAAAATGCAAAAACAATTATTGACAGGGTCCAACAAACAAAATCTCTTACAACGCCTATTCCTCAAGAAAATGGGTGCGCTGCTTATCAATTTTTGGCGTTGGCGGGGCCTGGGGGGCGTGATGGCCGAGATTTTCCCAGCTGTGGGCGGATTTCCCGACAAAAGAAGGGGCAGTTTCTTGGTTCCACGTGGCAATAAATCATTGGAATCATAGGTTGCCGTTTCCCGTTTGACTAGGCTAAAAAAGAGAACGGTTCTTCAGGTCCAGCGCACCGCAGCTGCTCGCAGGTAAAACCAACGGCCCACGTGACCTTCGAGGTACCGGCACGCACGAGCCTGCGGGCCCCTTTGACGTGGCAACGTTAAATTGAGAAGTGTTTGAGGCAATTGGGCTGGGCCCAGGTAAAGTACAGAGGCAACCCGAAAAGATGATGAAGCTATATAGTGTTGGATTGGTTTTGTTACAGGCAATGCAAACTTCTCTAGGATCTAACTCAAAAACAAACAAATAAATACTTCTATAGAACCGAACACAACTTCGTTAGGGTTGGGGGACCGTGTTCTTGGGACTTGGGGGGCCCTTAGCTCACCAAGCAAAGGGTCGACTCGTGCCTATAACAATAATTCCCGAAGCCCAATTATTAAGCATTGCAACACTCGTGCTATCACGCTTGAAGACGTTAGGCTTGCCTTCGGGTCTCTCCTCGCAAAACCCACACGTGACTAGTCACATGATTCTTTTTTTTTTTTTTTTTTTTTGTGGGGGGGGGGGGGCTTCATTACTTTGCGCATTCTTTCTTGTAGGATGGGATTCTTCAGCCTGAGCTTTAAGTCTATAGCTATGTAGAAAGCGCGGGCATCTGATTCCTAATTTTTTCATTTAAGCACTATAGATGTGGATGCGTTCACGGCTCGCAAAAAGCACCATACTGATGACGTAGTCAACACGATAAAGGACTTCATTACCACATCTAATTAGTCTAGTTTTTATTTTGTTTTAACATTTTATTAGGGGGATTCCATATTTATCTTTTCATTGATATATTTCTTATTTCCCGCGACTTCCGATCACCAAACTCGGGCTCTAACGCAAGAATGAGGTGGGGGGGGGCGGGGGGTTGGTTTGATACTGTATATACCAAGTCTTCAGATCACTAAAGTGAGTGTAGCGCTTTCGTCCACACCAACCCATGCACGCCCGGGCTCACGGCCTTTGGCGGAGTGCAAGGCGTGTGCCTCGGGGCATGAAATTGGTAGAGCAGTTTCAGGCAGGAATGTTAGGGCTAGAGTGCTATACGGGGCAAAGTGCTATACCGGATTGGAATGCGATGAGAGCCACATCTAGAGCCCGTAGGACTAGGAGCATCTTAAGTTCATATCGCCTTTGACAATGACACTGAGAATGTGCTAATTGTCATGTCGTTGATTGACTGACGGACGTCCGTCTTTGTAATGTGGGATGGTTCGAACACCCCCACTGTATATTACCGCATAGACTAGTGTGAAGAATGTAGTCGTTTTAAAGTGGAAGAAAAACCTTAATGCCGCAATACTAACTAGTGTAGTATCTTAAGTATTCTTGGTAGTGACTTTAGTCAATTAAATTCTCTTGGTGCCTCTCACGGCTTGCAGCGGTCAACGGGCCCGTGGGCCCGGGACGTGACAAATGGTATCAGAGGTTGCCAGCAAAGTGTAGAGCTTAAGTGTATAACGGGCTAAGTGCTATATCATCATGATACGGTGGGGAGCCACCTCTAGCGCCCGTTAGGAACCACTCTAGAGTCCACATTGCCTGAGAGTGCACATGGACTAGTGTGAAGAAA